ACCATGTCTCTCATGATCTGTGCCCTCAATCTCGCTTTGTGCTTGGCGAATTCCAAGCTCACGGCGCGATCCTCATCATTGATAAACGCTTCCATGTCGACGTACTTCACCTTCCGCTCTTTGTCTTTCTTCGATCTTCTAGGACACGAAGAAATGAACTTCACGTCATTGGCAAATGTCACATTACGCTTTATCACTTTTCGGGTCGACGTAGTCGTTCCCGAGGATTCGTCATCTGTTGAACAATCCGAATCAGCGTCGCTGTCAACGGATGGACAATCTGACTCCTCCTCATCTTGTCTTGAAGATCGCTTCCATATAGCCGGAGCTGATGGATTCCACCTTCGACACAATCTGATGGCGGGTGCCGCAGGGAGTGCCTTGGCCTTGGCATTCGGCTTCGCTGGAGCTGCCTTCGCTTCGGATTTAGCTTTAGCTTTTGCCTTTGGTTCCGGAGCTGGGGTAGCTGCTGCCTCATGCTTGAAAGGACAATTCTCTCTTGAGCACGAGCCTGTGTTCTTGAACGAGTAGCATATCCTGTTTCCTCCTCCTCCAGATGGACTTGGAGTTCTCGTCCTCGGCGTGAAGGGTCGTTCTGGAGTCTTCTTCGAGTGACTGAATGGACACTTATCGCCATTTCGACACCCTGCATCTGTGAAATGGAACTTACAGCGGATTTGCTTCTTGCTTTTGTCACCTCTGTTGTCCGCTGACTCACTCCTCGTCTTCTTCTTAGGCTTTGGCTTGGTCTTCGCATGACTCTTCGCTTTGCTTTGAGGTAGTACAGGTGTTGCTTTATCCGGTTTGGTCGGCGAAGCCTTGACCTTTGCGGAAGGAGCTGCGTTAGGCGTAGGTTTCTCGGGTACCTTGGCCGGTGCAGCAAGCAAATCCTTGCCCTCAAGCATCTGGCGCAAGCCAATTTGGGTCTGAGTGAGATTTGACTGTTCTCGTCTCCGCATGATAGTACGATCAATGATCTTCATCAGGTTGTCGTACGATCGGTCTTCATGATTGTAGGGCAAGTGTTCGTAATGCATGCCCAACTCCATCTTCATTGCGGGCGAGTCCTTGATCTTGCTGTACAAGCAATCACGGAGAGCTGTTTTGGATGGAATGTCCTCTGGTCTCATCCGTCCCAGAACTTCCAACCACGTCTGCTTGAACGTATGAAGCTTGTTGTCGCCTTGGTACTGGAGCTTCACCAAATACTCAAGAGTGATGATCATGTCAAGACGATCATGCGTTCGAAAACTTTCATACATCATCGCGATGACTTGTCGTCCTTTGATGATCTTCACGTCAGGCCTGCTGATGTAATCATTGGCCTTCCGGTTCACCTCGAGGTACAGGTCAGCTGATTTGTCACCACCGGCACGTAGCATTGCGACCATGGCGATCCCCAATTTGACGTCTATGCTCTTGAACTTCTTGTGTCCTGAATCATTCAATGCTTCGACATCAGGGAATGGGTTGAACGCTGGTGCCAGCCATAACATCCAGTCCTCATGATGTGGGTCGGCTGATGCCCCTAAGACATTGGCCGTGCACACGGATCGCCAGTTGTTGAGATGAGTGAGAGTAGGCCATGGGGGAACGGTCACTTTGTCAGCTTCCCTCCTGGAAATTCTCACCTCTGTGACTTCAGGATCCGCATCTCCATCAGGATCGCGTGCATGCGAACCAGGATCCGATTCAGGTTTGCCCCCTCCGCCCTTCTTCTTGTCATCATCATCATCAGGCGGATCTGGAGGATCATACCCAGTGCCGGTTCCTTCATCATGCTCGTCCTCTCCGTTCTCGTCGCCAGCTTCATCACCGTCATCGTCTCCATGGTTTTCCTGAATCGTTTCAGCGAATAATCTCCACTCATCACGATCAGCTCTGAGACGTTGCTCGGCTTTCTGAGCCTTGAGTACTTCACTTCGCAGGTCAGCAATCTTCTCTTCGTACTGTTCCGCGATCTCTTTCTCGATCTGACGTCTTCTTGCTTCATGAATGGAATCGTCATAGGCAATAGGGGGACCGATGAGGTCGTTGCCCTTCGTAGATGCGGTGACACCGTCGACACCAACAGGTCTTGAGGAGCTGGCAGATGCTGTGGACTTCGATCCCAACATCCCGCGATCCTCCAAGAGTTCGCGTAGCTGTCGATCACGCACGGCTGCCGCATCACTTTTCCCATGAAATCCGCTTGGTATGCCGAACAAAGTGGCTGCACTAGGCGTGGAACGCGCAAGTGCTGGGCTGCTAATACCTGGCACGTAGTGCTCGGGCATTGCATCCGCCACGATTGGCATTGAACTGCGGCCAGTGAAGAAGTTTCCACCGGTGAATGGAATTCCATCCATCACAAGGTTCTTGTCCTTGTCCGATTCCGAGAATGCGAACTTCTCTTTGGCGACTGGACTAACTTGACTTGGGGACCGTATTTCAGGGGATCGTACCTCATCTCCTACGGAAAATGCAGGCATTACTTCCTTTCCTACGTGCTCCCAGCCAGACTCAGTAGTCCTCGAAGACATGGGCATGCTCGAAGGTCGCGTCGCTCCTCCTTGATTGGAGTTTCTCGCTGCCTCCAATTCGCTGCGTGTCCTCGCTTGAAGATCTTCTTGTGCTTTGAGCGTTTTCCGGAGTTCACTCAGCTCGTCGTGCAAGGTAGGCAATGATCGCCTTGCATGATCTTCATTATGATGAAGTCGATCCTCTGCTTCTTGCATCCTCTTCACAGCCATTTTGCGGTACTCTTCCTCTTCACCAAGACGTTCGCGAAGCCGAAATCGTTCTTGCTCAATGGCTGCGCTGTTTCCAGCTAGCCCTTGGATCTCGTTCACAGCCCGCAACTCCTGGTTCTTGACCAAGTGGAATCGTTCCTGCATTGCTTGTAAGGCTTGTTCCGAACTTGCTGTGTTTGACCGGAGGACCAAGTTCTCTCTGGCGTGTTCATGAAGTTCATGAGTCAGACGCTCATACTCACGTGCCATAAGCTCACCATCGCCTTGCGCTCTTGCCTCCAACTGCACAAAGTTGGTGGCTGCCTCCGTGCGGAACACGTGTAGCTGTTGAGCTAACTCCTCGGCAACGGCATGTGCTTGACGTTGTTGAGCAGAGTTCTGCTCATCCATGCGAAACAAAGCTGTTTCATAGTCTCGCTTCATCTCCTGATTGACATTGTTGATGTGCCTCATGGCTAAGCATGCATGATCACGTTGTCGTTCCAATTCTTCAATGCGAATTCCAGATCCTTCATCTTCTTGTTGCATCTCCTTGATCTTGTCCATCAGGGTCTGGACGATTCCTTCGTATTCTTGCACCTGACTGCGATAGTACATCTGCTGTGCAAGGTTCGATGCTTCGAACTGTTGCGAAATCGTCAGTTCCTGGTAGGCATTCGGACCGTCAGCTATTGCAGGCGTGGCCACGGATGACGCATCACCACGTGCAGGAATCGTATCCAGAGTCATGTCCAGATCGTCAGCATCGCGTGGTTGATTGGTAACCATCCGATTCCAAGTCATGGACTTGTCACGCCCACGAGTAGCCGAAGTCCTCGATCGTGCTGAAGAGCTTCTCGAAGATGATGGTCTTGACTTCTTTTCCAAGGTCTTGACTCCTTTGTCCTTGGCCCTGGACGTAGTCCGAGGTGCCTGAAAACCAGACGCTTCGGCCCGTCGTTCTGAAGCCTTGCCCGTCCTCGAACCTGTGGATGTCGGACGCGAAGGCGTAGATGCTCTTGGTAGACTCTTTGCTTTCCCCTTGGGAACTGCCTTTGCAATGGCAAGCGCAGAAGATTGACCTTTGTCATCTTCCGTGGAGCTATCAACGGATTGCACCACTGTGTCGTCAGCTGTTGACTCACCAACGGCTGGCGCTGCCACATCGGCACCGAAAGTCATTGTCGTATCTTGGCTTGATCCTGAGTTCATTGTGGTCGTAGTAGATCAAGTAGTCGTTGCTGTAGAAAGGCAGAGCCGCGTACGGCTGATAACCTGCGTGGGGGATTGATCTCGACTTGGTTGCTGCTCTCCCCACCAGAGCTGTAATGAATGTAGGTGTGGCTGGCTAGCACTCTCCACAGACTGGACCCTGTCTCTCCCTCTTACTTCCACACGTGCAATCCTATGCAGGCAGAACCGGCGGCCGTTCCTTTTGCACTCACTGCCGGCGGCGGTTCGTCTGTGCAACGGGATAGCTCTGATTGCTCAGGATAGAAGACACATATAGCACTTAGCTATGGGCATTGACTTGAGCCAAACGTTGCGTTGGCGGTCACATAGAAAGGTAAAGATGAGGGATGCGTAGCATGCCCCCTAGAGTCGAGGGACGCGTAGCGTGCCCCCTTCTCTTGCACTTTACACGGTCTTGCTCACAGCTCTTATAGTGATACCTTAGAACTTGACAAGGCATCGCAGTCCGTTCGCACCTCCTACTAGACTACTACTACTACTACTACTACTACTACTACTGCTACTACTACTACTACTATTACACTACTACTACTACTACTACTACTACTACTACTACGACTACTACTACGACTACTACTACTACTACTACTACTACTACTACTACTACTACTACTACTACTACTACTACTACTACTACTACTACTACTTACTACTACTACTACTACTACTACTACTACTACTACTACTACTACTACTACTACTACTACTACTACTACTACTACTACTACTACTACTACTACTACTACTACTACTACTACTACTACTACTACTACTACTACTACTACTACTACTACTACTACTACTACTACTACTACTACTACTCCTTACTACTACTAGCACTGCTACTACTACCACTGCTACGACTACTGCTGCTACTACTACTACTACTACTACTACTACGCATGCGGCAAATACGGAGAACGCAGGAGCCCAGGGCCAAAAAAAAAAAAGGGCCAAGAAAAAAAAAAAAAGGGCAATGGAAAATTCTCCACCCTGATGCGCCGCGCAGCATTCGCGCTTCGCCAGTGATCGGCCATGAAAAGGATCCTTCTGCAAAAACCAGTCAGTGACACGACAGCTCGGCGCATCGGAGAGGTTTCCCAGAGGAAGACGCCCAGTTTGGCCGGACGCTTCACAGGGCACTCCTGCATGCTGATTACGCCTACTGATACTTCTGTGTACCTCTCTCTTCGCGACATGACTATGAGGTTGGGTTCACCGACAGAGAGCGTCTTCTCGGAGACACTGCGCTGTCGCAGATCAAGTGAGCCCGGCAAGTAAAGTCGACGGAGTCGCATTTAACATATGAGCTCATGCGGCGTGTGAATTTGCTTCCGCATTTTGTGCACACCCACGTTGAGAGGTCGAACGCCAAGAATACATGCAGTGCCCTCGGCATCGAGTACCACCTGGACAGCATGAACACCGAAAGCTACTATGACAGCTCACAGTGCACCTTCCGAATCGTTACTCGTCGCATCGATCTACATGAGGTCGAAACTTCAAGCACCTACTGGGCCAGAGGTTGGACACGAGACACGTATTCACCAAGCAATCACGTTAACGGTAGAGGTTCGACTCCCCTGCGGTCGATGCAGAGAAGTCAGGGCCTAGCCGGTAGCAGCTGAATTTTGCGATGTTCTGTAGCATTCGCAAGTGCCAGAAGGGGGTTTTCGGCCGTTCGCCTACATTTGTCGCACCGAGGTTTTGGTCAACTTGTCCGCTAGTGCAAACAGAGGCCACATGGTCACAGTTTCGATTCAAAGCTGGGGACACTGATAGTGCTCGGTTGCAGGATGGCTTCGCAGGCTATTCAGTCAGCTACAAGGGTGAGACGACACAATTCTCGGCGACTGAGGTGGAAGAATCTTGTCATGGGCTTTGGATGCTGTCTGATTGTTCATGCTGCATCTCGAGGTTACAGCCATGTTCCTAACCAAGCTGAAGCAGGTGACGGAGGCCATGCAGCGAGATTTCAACAGTTTGTGTTTCGTTGGGAGCATGTCGCAGAGCTTGTGTGAGGCATGGTGTGGAGCAAAAGTGGCTGACGCGGATGCCTCAAGTTGACCTCAATAGCTCCATCTCCCTGAGATCCCCGGGATATGCTTCCATTCTTATTCTTGGTCAGAGTGTAGCTGTTTTGCAGAGAGACTGCCTGTTGGTTCTGATCTGCCGAGGCAGTCATCGCTGTCCCATCCTATTTCGCTGATTTTCAGCGTGCTGGCCTCGTGATCTTGGGATGCAGTTCGTAACTTTGACTCACCGCCTGTAGAGGGAAAGACATCGCTTTGCCGTGGTTTGTCGCAGCTTCCCTTGATGGTGGCAGCATGTGGCAGCAGACGTTCCCAACGTTTGTGGTTAAGGCCAAGCGCTCTTGGATGCTGCTGCAATTGCCGATCTACATGTGCTCAGAGCTGGCCCCTCAAGTTGTTGAACGGTTATCGAGGAGGATTTCAGGCTCCTGGTGATGATGATGCTGGTCCATGGTGGTGGCGATATCATCATCCACATTGGATGTCCTAGAGCGAATCTTTATGTTCTAGTTTTAGCGTGTTTAAACGCACAAAGCCCCAACAAGCTGTGATGCTATCGAGTTTTTGCTGTTTTGTGTCTGGTCGCCGAAGCATGGACTCGCCAAATTGAAACCTGCCTTTCGTGCGCTTGTTGTTCGTGGGCGTCGTTCATGAGCTGACGCGGGTCTCCTGCATGCGAAGCACACCTACTTTTGAATGAACTCCAAGAGGCACCGATATGGGGGCACATGAGCTCACTTGCTCTCTTATCCAAGCAATAGACAAGGAATGAACAAAGGAGAGAGACAGAGGGCCTGAGTCCTTTGGGTCTCGAACCTTGGGAGAGAGAGTGAGAGGGGAGGTCGCGCCCGGAGTGCCTGAGCTGGACGCTTCCAGGGCTCCCCTCGTAGACAAAGAGAGAGAGAGAGAGAGAGAGAGAGAGAGAGAGAGAGAGAGAGAGAGAGAGAGAGCGAGAGCGAGAGCGAGAGCGAGAGTAGCCATTTTGGCTCAAGTCATCTGCCTCTCTGCTCCTTCGGGAGTAGGGCGCTCCCGGCTGGCCCTTTGAGGCCGCAGAGGGTGATCTCTGCGGTCTTGGGGGTGGACGCGTCGGGGCGGGGGGTGGCTTGAGGCCCACATGCTGCAACATGTCGGGCTCGCAAGTGCCCCAGGGTTCGCGAAGACCTCTCCTGACCCCGGCCCTCTCCGGAGGTGGCCCGGTAGTAGGGAGGGGCAGCATACTACGTGACAGCGGACCTCCCAGTGAAGATGCACCACCAGAGGGGATACCACATCGCTCAAGAAGGGGACAGCGAGATCTCGCTGAACGACCACCTCTTCCTCGAAGGCGACCCCGACAAGACGCAACCGAAGGACCTGACTGGGCGAGGGACACCGAGGCCGGAAAGAACGTGATAGTGGCAGGGACACCACGAATGCGGAGAACACCTACGGCCGACGACGACGCAAAGCCAGAGGATGACGACGATGTTGAGACGAAAGCCTGCAAACCAGCGAAGGTGCCAGACCCAGTCTTTGTGGATAGCCAGCGCGTTTGCCTTAGGTGCCTACTCGGAGTCAGCAAAGGAGTAGGGGGCAAACACTACAGCCACGACCGCGGGGGGCCACCTTGCGTACTCTACCAGAGCCAAGCGCGTGGAGGAGCAGCTCCTACAGGAAGCGTCAAGGAGACCGGATGCAGCTCACACGGGCATCTTGGTAGGGCACACCCTGCAACACAAAACCAAGAAGCCGAAGGAGGCACAGAGCCAACGCCGGGAGACCGAGAAGACAAAGGCCACGCAGATGGGCCAAGCAAGGCGTGGGACAAAGGGAAAACCTCCTACAAAGGACAGTTGACGCGGCACCAGACGGCTCGGAAGTTTTGTTGCACGTTTCTTTGCGGTGTGAAAACACACTCAAACCCGAGGGACCAGTCCTTCTGAGTAAAAACTTTAGCGAAGAGCTTGAAGGCCAACACGGCCGACACTTCAATATCCGAGCACCAGCCAAGATAGACAAACAGAGTGGCCCGCTCTCTTGCGGCTGACTCGCTAATTTACGGGCCTGGGGGCACCAAACCTTTCCTTGTTACCTTTCAAGTGGAGTGCCACAGCGGCCAGCATAAGGCTGGCGGGGCCGTTAATCATGGCATGTTATTGCAACTTCCCCGGGGCACCCGCCTTTTTTACATTGGGGCAGAACTCTTCTGTACAGTCCGAGCCCATCCACAGCGCGCCTGCGCGGGGCGGGAGGACTGCTCCCGTCCTAGCCCCTAGCAAAGCAAAGAGAAAGAGAGAGAGAGAGAGAGAGAGCGAGAGAGAGAGAGAAAGAGAGGCAGCAGACCAGCGACCGCAGCCCTGCAGCAGCAGCATCCCCCCACCCGCTCAGCATGAGGGACCCGACGGTTCTGACAGGAACCGGGACCAGAGCGCCATCCTCGGAGGCAACGCGTGGGACCTACCCAGCAACGAGGCAGGAGGTCATGTTGCAACACGTCATACTGGGTGGGGACCCAACCAACTCCCTATCCGGCTTGCCATCACCACACCAACCACCACCGCCTGCCAACACTACACCTACACAGCTGCTTAACGGCAGCGACACAGCAGTCGGAGACGGCCCTGAGGACAACGAACCACCGAGCAAACGTCGCAACACGCGGGATGCGGCAAAGGGGCACTCGGAGAACACCGGGAGGCCACACCATACGCTATCCTACAGGCCCAAAGCCTCCAGCGGCTGATCCCCACGCTCCAAACATGGACGCAGGCCCTGTGCGGGGGTTGCGAGCTGGAAGCTACGATCCCCGGAGTCCCAGCAGCCGAACCCATGCCACCGGCAGTTTGACCTCGGCTACGGGGAATTTCCGCTATGGCGACCTGCAGGAGCTCACGAAGGACACCATGACATGGGGACCAACGACCACGAGGTCAGGGGCACGGGACACCGGCCGAGACCAGAACGGTTCGAAAGCTGGGACTTGGAAGATATCCCAGGAACAGACACCGAAGACGAGGCGTGGGGCAACAGACGCCGAAGTGACCCGACGACGCCCTGCCAATCGCGGAGACCCTGACCCAGGACGCCCACAAGACCAGGAGCCCAGCACCTGAGCAAGAGCACCGCGGGGGCATCGACATCTCGAACGATGCAACACACCGCCGTATGCGCATGCATGCGGCCTTTGACCCTGCCTAGGCCTAGTCCTTGTTTGCTTAAGGCTCGGAGTGTGTTGTCGGCTTTTGGCTAATCGGGGACAACCCCGCACACCAAACCCAGCACAAAAAGGGATGTCGGAGGCTCACTGTGTGACGTTCCCCTATGGCTTATGGCTTTATTACCCTAACCCTCTGCTTCCTATCGCGCAGGCCACCGTCTCCCTACCACAGCACCACCACCACCACCACCACCACCACCACCACCACCACCAATGCAGTGCGGGGACCTGACAAGTGGTGTTGTTCCCCTATTATCCCTGGAGTCCTTGCCCCTGTTGCTTTCCGGGGAGCCGCACTGCCAGCAACATACATCCACAAACCAGTAGGGCACAGAAGTAGCAGTGTAAGCCGGAGTTGCGGGGACCGCCTTTCACAACATGCTTGTTAGGTCAACAGTCGGGGGCACATCCACAGACAACGTGATCAGTAGGCCAGGATACCTGTACGCTGTTTAGCTGTTTTACTGGTCAGTGTGAAGAGCCCAACGACACGAACCCGACAATGCTCGGGAACTCAGCCAAAAGCTTGTGAAAACCGACTCCCAAGTAACAATGGCAATCGGGGAGGGCCCCAACGAGGCCGTGTAGAGAATCGGGCACTGCAGGGAGTCGGGGACACATCCCAGTTTTACACCGACCAAACCAAACTCGGACGGAGGCGTGGCGCGCTGCGCAGTGCATGCGGGGCTTGCACCCCTGACCCCACACGCAAGCAGGCAAGCAAGAGAGAGAGACAGACAGACAGACGCCACCGGCTTTACCTAACGTGGGGCACAACCCCTAGCAATCCTGCCCCAATGCTCCTTCCACCAAAAATGGGGGAAGGGGGCGCCTTGGCGCGGGCTCATGGAGCCTCACCCCTGTGAAGCGAGGCGAAGCGAAGGGGAGGAGGGACCTTGTCTACTGACAGTGCCGGAGAGACTGGCAAGTTCGCCTACGGCATTGGAAGCAGAGGGGGCGCCGGGGGCGGGTGACAAGGGTAGCCATAACGACGCAGCGAGGACGTGGGGATTCGATTGTTCATGGCCACGCCCTAGAGAAGAACAAGAAGACCTTGGGCGAGCACAACGCCGGGCACGCAAATGCCCCTCAGCCCTCGGACGTGCTGGCACATGACGGGCACCTGTCAAGTCAGCCTGAAGACCTGATTGATGCAGACCAGAGCTTGCCACTGGTGCAGGCTTAGACACCTGGTGCCGGCTTTACACGAAAAAGCACCGACTTGCAGCGCGAGGGACACTTCTAGAACGAGCCGATCCAGATCCCCGACGACCAGTTCTTCGTCGTAGTGCACGAAGACCACGAACGCGAAGACATACCAGACAAGCTGGGGGCACCCAGTCCTAAGGGCAAACAAAGAGTATTGGGCGCAAAATCGCACTCAGAGTTCATTGATGACTGAATTCGGACTCAGGCCCGCCTCACCTTAACCCACCTTTTGGTGCTTGGCCTGGGGAGGCTCAGTATGAACATGCTGCAGCCACGTTCAGGGTGGAGTGGAAGGTGGGGGCAATGCTTGCTGGGATTCGGCTTCAGTTCGGGATAGAGTCGGATAGAGGCAGGGATCAGGCAGGCCGGGTGCAGGTTTGTGACCAGTGCAGCAGTGCGGAAGGCACAGCCCTTTCGTGTTCTAATCTCAAATCTCCCTACATAGCTTGCTCGACTCGCTTCGGCCCGAGCGGGGAGCCCCAACACGACCCACAAATGTCACTGGGGGACTCTCTGTGTCCTTGAATCTGAAGCAATTTTAAGCTTTCGTTTGCCGGAAGGTCAACGCTGTCAACGCAATTTGTGCGCGGGGAGAAGGCTTGTCTTTCGGGATCAGGCAGGTCACAGGCAGGATGGTCGGGTTAAGCTGCCAAGCTGAACGCGCGAAATCGGGGCACGCAGCAGTCTTCTACTGTGCACTGTGCCGTAGCATGGGTAACCCGATCTTGTGTACACTGTGATGTGGCATCGTGCTGGCAAAGAGCCTTGTCTGATGCGTGTTTAGATCGAGGAGCTACCGAGTGTGAAACCGACACAAGTAAGACGCACAAAGCAACTTCAAAATCCGACAAGAGCAGAGTTGAGGGCTCGGGGAGTAGAAAACGTGTGGGCGTTGCTTCCCTGCTTCTCGCGGCCAGGGGTCCCCACCCGCTTGTTTTTCTGCTTTGATGAGACCGGCCCAGAAACTGCTGCAAATGCAGGGTAGCAGCACGTAGCCAGTTCTTTCTTTTGACTTGACTTGCTTGACCTGCTGGTTTCTGAGTTCGCCAAGCAGCTGCCGGACTCGCAAAGAAACGAATCAGAGTCTTCAGGTTGTCAACGAGCATACGGCGACAGCTTTAGAGCTGGTGGCTAAGGTAATCGTTTCCAGCAAGCAAATTCATTGTGGCATCCGCACATGTCGCTGCTTCGGGACTGCTGCAAGCAAGGTATGGCTTTTTCAGGAACAGCAACTTCGATGCTGAGAAGCCGTCAATAGTGGCTTTCTGCCAGATGGGCCCGAGACTCGGTTGTGAACTACGTCCCGAGCATTTGATCTTCACAAGGTCGAGCAGAGCACAAACAAAACCCAAGTAGCCGTTACGAAGTCCGTCCGATCGGCTGCTTGCAGCAAGCGTACCGAGGTCATTCCAATTTCTCTGTGGCAATTGTTCAGTTCCTCAAGGGCGAGCTGACAGTTCTGTGCGAGAAGTCGGACAAGGCCTGGAATTGATCGTCGAGAACTTCACTCGTGCTTTTGCTTGCGAGGTGGGCGGCCGAGACATGGTTGAATGCCTCGTTAGGACTTTTGCCGAACAGTGCCTTGGCGCAATTCGGTTTGAGCTGCAGGCGTCACATGCTCTCCTTCACCATCGTTCCTGTGACAACCGGCGATTTTGGGGTGGTGCTTGTACTGAGGTTCAACAAGAAGACAGGCCACACTCCAAGTTTGCACGCAGTTGTTTAACGGTTTCCAGGTATCAGTTCTCTTTTTTTGCTGTAAATGAAGTTGCTGGGATGTCCCAATCTCCTCTTGAATGATTTTGGTCGTGAACCTCTCCTGCCTCCATGCATGGGCCTGACAAGCCTTACATCTATGCTGAGGTAGTAATGTTCCGAACCAAAATCTACTTGTACTACAATGCAATGAAGACAGGCTGCGATGTCTTGACCAACAAGAAGGCTTGCTTCAAGCTGGAGGACGCCGAGCGTTCTGGATTGGGGAAAGGTGCATGATCCGGTGTTCTAGTGCTGAGAGTAGACCGTGACTTCCGGCGAGAGGGCACAGGGCATCTTGTCCCGGAATCTGCAAACAAAGCTGGTGACAGGCCGAAGGGGTTCCGAGGCGTCCGTGCTCCTGCGGGCTCCCAGTAAAGTCTTCGAGTTACAGCTGCAAAAAAGCGCAGCTGAAAGCTGGGCCGTTGTCCAAAACGATGCATCGCTCGTCCCATTGAGCTGCACAGTACTGCCCGAGCACATCGGTCCAACTCACTGTGACTGCACACCGTCAACTCAGTTTCAGGTACTTTAGCGCAAAGCAGCGAAGCAGTTGTTCTGTGATTTCTCGCGGAACTGACAGGATGCTGTGGCCAAAACGAAGAAGATCCTGTCTGCGAACACAGAGGCTGCAGATTGGAGATTTGTCCTTTCTTTCGTGACTTGTGAACGTCGGAATTGCAGTTGAAGAGATGCTCGTGAGCCTCTGAGGCCAGTGTCTCTTGTGAGTGCCTCATGGAGGATCACGATTTCAGTGGTCTCGTCCCGAGCAATCGATTTGCACTTTCTGCAGTTAACATGCAGAGTGAGAGCGTCATTGAAGCCAGTAGAGCATGCGAGACACGCGTCTTATTATTCTCTCTGAGCAACCCCACTTACTTGCTTCTTTCTCCGAACCAATTAACTATCATGCTTTGGCTTCAGGTAGATTCGGTGTCTGGTGTTGTGGCCGAGTGAAGAGCAACGATTCGCCCCGAAGAGTGAAGGCTTGCATCGAACCGAAGACCTAAGTCCGACTTTCTGCATTCCGTCTCCGCCACCTTCTCCCACCTTCACGCTTTCGTCGGAGTTTGTTGCGTTTCCGGCCATTTCGGGTGCTTTCTTGCACGCCCGGTTCAACGAAGGTCAACCCTAAGAACCAGTGAATCGAAGTGGGGGCTCCTCTTTCTTCAGTTCTCAGGGAGACTCAAGTTGAGAGATGGGAGATCATTATCTTGACATCCAGAGCAAGGGAGACATCATCCAAATTCATCCAAGTTCAGTGCCAACATCAGTAGCATCGTCGTGATGACACAAACCAAGGAAATGTGGACCGAGAGACCTTTCTCGAAATGTGCAAGCCGATGATGAAAAAGGCGGGTGCAGTTCGATCAATGACTTTGCGAAACCGAGTGAGCATGTCGCATTGCCGTCCCTTGCCAGGTGAGCGACGTATTGGAGGCAGCAAAGGCCGACCAGCATCGACAGACCTTCAACATCTTTGCCGGAAAAGTTGAAGCCAACTAATGCATGCAACCATTTCGCTTGTGTGGAATCCAAGATAGCATGTTGATGGATGTTGCATCTTCATCTTCGTTTGCCAGGCTTCTTGCAACCTGTCAGTGTCTGCAATTGATTCAGCACATCTCCTAGTCTTCGTTTGCTTTGGAGAAACTTGGGAGGGCGCATCTTCGATAATGCAACTGAGGTTGAAATTTGTGGGGGAGCCGCGCGGGTTCCCTGGGTCAAGGTGAGATGCCATGCGACCCGTGAATGTTGATACATCCGATTGACCTGGCAGGAGATGTGCTCCAAGGCTTTTGGTGGCAAGGAGCTGTCCACTACCATGAATGCAGACGAGTGTGTTGCTCGAGGCCCTGCACACTTGTGCCGTCTCTGGCTTGAATTTTGCAAACTCTTGATCTGCAGGCTGTGCTCTCCAGGCGGCAATATTGTCACCGCTGTACAAAGTGCAAGACTTCAAAGTCGAGGACTCTTTTTGCATCAATGGTCTCCTTTGTTTGCCCCTGGCTTTTCTCCACGTGTGCAGCCGAATATAATTTGCTTTCTTCCGATGTCTCATGCCTGTTCCAAGTTGTAGGACAGCTGCAAGTTTCCCATCAGCCGGAGCCCCTGCACTGTCATCTCAGTACATGTTATTTTGTATGTTGCAGCTGCAGCGAGACCAGGGTGAGAGCGTTGAGTTTCGCTTCGCTCTTCAGCGACTGTGCCCTTGTCCAACCCTGTGAAGACGTTTGCTTGGCGCCGCCACAGACTGTAGAATGTAGAAGCCAGAAGCGTGGTGTGGGGCTGGACTGCGGAGTGAGGTGCCTGGACGAGAAAAATTCAAGCTAAGTTAAGCAAAGGCCATACGGAGGGAAAAGATGGAATGGGAGAACGGCTTCTGGACCGGAGGCTCGATGAGTGCATGGGGGCGGTACGTGGCAGTGTATTTAAGCGGGCAGGCAGAGCGGCGAGCGAGTTTCCACGTCCCCACCAAAAAATGGGCAGGGGAAGTGTGCCTGGGTCAGGTATCAAGTGGGTAAAGAACTGTACACGCACCCCGATATATCTTTGTATTTTTCTGGCACAGTTGTTGGTTAATTCCTTGCTTTGCTGGCTTTTCTCGGCTTGGCTTGCCTTTTCATGAGCGTTTCCGTCCCTTGCTTGCGCAAGTACACCTTTGCCTCATGCTCTTGGCGGCTGCAGCCCTTCAAGGGCTGAGCCAGTAACAACCCACGCGGGGCGGGGTGGAGCCTGTGAAATCCCCGGGTCTAATTCCTCGGTGGGCTTGGGAGGAGCTGTGGGAAGATGTGGGAAGCCGACCGTGCGAGAACAGACAAAATCACCATGGACTAGACAGAGCAATCGTGCAGATGCTTAGTGTGTGATGTTCTGCAGGTATTGGTTGGCAGATGCCGATCAGTGATGGAGGCAACGGCAACACGAAGGCACGCCGGCGGCGTGTTCAGCGGCTCATAGTGGCTCTTTTTCGTGCCCATGCATCCATGTGCTGTGAATGCTCTACTCTAATTGTTGCAGACACCGCAACACACAACCTGAACCTGTCGGTAGGACGTGACTTCTGTGGTTTTCTCTACTGACTCCGTGCTGAACCTTCTCAAGGTGGGTGTTATCATGAGGCTGAGGGCAGCCAACTTGCATGTGGCCATGTTGCAGGTCATAACCTTCAAGCGCAAGGCTCCCTTCGATCTGAAAGTTTCGTATGCTGCCGACAAGCTGCCGTCGGGCACTTCGAAGGACCGGTAAAGGGTCTATTCGTCCGACGAGATTTTATGGTCGCTATTGGTATGTGTGGCCGAAGCTGGTAGCTTGCAGGACCTGGGAACCTATACCATTGAGGTGCCCCTGCAAGATGCCCCAAAGAAAGTGAAGGCGCTTTCTACGGCACCGTGGATCATGATGGGTAAAGCATTGTGGCATGTCTCTTTCCACTTCACCTTTGCAGCTGGACAGGCTTGAGGTGGCAAGTAAGTTAACCATGTCTTGCTTCCGTAAACCGTTGTCTTTGTTTACTTGTTTTCTGCTGTCGCTTACAGTATTCGCCGACTGCGTGAATTCTGTCGGCAACTTTGCCTCCTGTTTGGTTAATTCCCCTCACTGTCTATCGTGGCACAGCAACCCCAGAGACCGGGACCCTGGAAGGAATCCTAGTAAGGACCCCTAAAGCACTGTAGAAGGAACCCTGGACGGAACTCTGGCAGGAACCGAGAAGCAAACAGACCTGGAAGCAGTGGTGGAAGGAACAGTGGCCCAAAACACAACCCCAAACTTGGAAGGAAAGACTTAAAACAAATGCAGCCCTCAGCTCCTGGAAGGCCCAAAAAATCGTGGGCAGGGCTGGAGGGCAAGGGCCAGACGGCCTTGCCCAGGATTTTTTGGGCCTGGTCCACAACTCCATCGACACTGGTCACTAATCATACTTAGAGTTTGCGGTTTAGGGATTCCGTTGGGCTTTGCGGTTTAGGGTTTAGGATTTCGGGGCTTTGGGGCTTGGAGTCCAGGGACTGGCGTTTGGGAACTTCAATTCGTTGTTCAAGACTTAGGTCTTCAGCTTTGGGGTGAAGGCCTAGAAGATGATTGTTGGAGGTGTAGGATTGAGGGCTTCGGGTTTGAGGTTGGTTTTGGGCCCTGGGTCTTAGCTCTTAGGCTTGGGTATTAGAATGGTATTAGGTGTATGGGTTTGGGACGCCAACTCTGAGAAGCACTTTAAAGCCAAATTGGTGGCAGCGAATCGTACTCCTCAACCGCTTCGCATCCAAGCAGAAGCAGGCAAATTTCCCAAATATGTGGGAGTGCATCGCACTTCTTGGACAGCCGGACATTCAAGCCCAAACGTGCAGGAATCGTACTTCTTCTGCGGCTTCACCTTCAAATATCAATGGTTTGAAGGTGAAGTATCGTCACGCAAAGTTCCGTAGCTATAGAAGAACCTGTCCATTTTGGATTGTTTGCTGTATTGCTTCCGTTGAGCACAGTCGGAATCCTGGTCAAACTTTAACTCCAAACCCCAAGCTAAACCTGGCCATGCTATGCTTTGTACATGTTGCTTCATGACTTACAGTAAGCGGTAAGGCTCCAAACCTAGTGGGCAAGCGGAAAACTCAGTGGGCACGACAATTTCCGCCTCTGCATGTTGTCGGACTGTGTACGGACACCGGAAGCACTGTAAAGGACATGACATTTCACAATCGTGCCATTGGGGTCGGTCAATGAGGCAGGAGGACGGGGGGTTGTCAACTTCCAGCTCTGACCACTGCAGGGCCGAGAGCGCACTAAGTTCCAAGCCGCACAAGAGTGTTGGCAAGGCTTGAAAGAATCACTGGGCAACCGAAGCTCAAGAATTACTTCAAGAGTTCCGTCTAGAGTTCCTTCCAAGATCTTCCAGGGTCCCGTTAGAGTTTATTGTCGGGTTCCAGCTGCGGCTTCTTAAACCCCAACTCCGAGGCAAACCGCAAACCTTACAGGGATGCAGAGGTTTTGCGGTGCTGACAAGCAGGCTGCCTGCTCAGCCTCTCCGTCGTACAGACTCGGATCGTTGCAGTCGAGCGAAGCAGCCCAACAAGAAACACCAAACTCAAACCTAAGCCCCGAAATCCGAACACGAAGCCTGAACCCAAATCCGAAGCCATGAACCACTCGAATCCCAAACCGTAAACGCCAAGAATCCACCCGGTCTCCTGGACACCGGGCAAGGCAACGTCGCATACAGCTCGATCTGGGCTCAAGGACTGGGTCACTCGCAGGCCGCCCATGGCCACCCCACTCTCAGAGGCTACACATGCTACACCCGCAGAAGGCCGACAGAGGCTTCAAACCCAAGGGTCCTGGATCTTCAAATCAGAGGGCATCGTCACAGCGGGTGAGAAAGACCATCTCAGCTCTGTCGCAATGTGCAAGGAAAGTCTATCGCTGCAAGATGTGCCGCCAGTTTAAGGTGGCCGCTATCCTCACTAGCCGATGCCCTAACATGCCTGGAACCACCCCAAACCATAGAACAGACACGGTTTACACCACAAAACAGGATGCATTCATCACCCAAAATGTGAAGCAAAAAGACGCGTGCTGCTAGATTTTCAGTGAAGATATCGTGGGACGCCGAGACAAGAGATTTCTTTGGTGACGACATTACCAATCGGCCAGAAATCGCCGAACATCATTGGGGCGGCTATTTTTGCCATCGCATCCTGGAAGGTGAAGACCGCATTAACCCTCCATGGAACATTCACGGCAGCTTGGCAGCCTGTACTGGCAGTGCTTCATTTGATGGAGACCAACTCAATGAGAACAGGTGCCTTCTCACCCTTGTGCTTGCAGAAGCTCTCAGAGCGTAGGCGGTTTTGTCTTGAGAAAGCTAAGGTCCAGAGTGCCCATCTCGTCGAGGAGGAAGAGGACGGAAGCATGAGCGTTCAGTGAATGCTGTGGCTACATAAGTCTGCAACACGTGTCATTAGGGCACCGGAAAGCCTTGGGCACGCTTTGAAGAGGTGCTGTGAGAAAGCAGCATCCATACAGCGTGAACATGAAGATTTGAGTGATCTTTGATGTTGTTGATGGCCGATGAAGGTGTTGCACCGGTGTCGCATGACATGCCGTGCGCAAGAATCCCGAAGCCCATGGCAATATCCGTTCCAATTCTCGGCATATCCGCTCACGGCATCCAGTCTCGACCTCAATCCAAGACATGGCCAACGTACATAGCATGACGTGCCAGGTACCAGTGCTTAAAAAGAGCCTGAAGCTTGACATACGACTTTGATGCAGTTGATACGTGAGAAGAGCTGTATCTCAATCATTCTCCGTCACCTTTTCGCGAAGTGTGGCAGCATGAGTCCCCAGGACGCACCTATGCCAGATGCAGGGGACCAGGAGGCTAACCTCCGAACCCGGATAAGTGGTATTGTTTGGGCAAGTTCTCTTGTCAGCACACTTCTGGTATGCTGCTAGTGCGATAGTTGCACTGTGCTTTGCCCGTGATGCAGGCTTCACGCAAAAGGAAGATCAAGAGAACTGACCTTTCCATCAAGAAGAAGGGTTGCAGTGGCCTTGGGTTGCTGCCTTTGTCCCATGTTGGTCGTCGCTTAACCACACGCGAACTTCATGCATGCCGAGTTCCAGCCGTGCTCCTCATCGCACTGCCTCATTCAACTCATAGGTTTTTATCGCCGCATGCAAGTGTCGTGAAGACTGTGCCCTACAGTATCGTCAACAACCGAAAGGGAATCCGATGTTCAACTACAACATTTGCTTGCTCATTTCCGCTTTTCAACCTGGCAGCTTCCTGTATGCACGTCGGCAATTTCGGGTTTGCAAGAACTCCAGCACGGGTGACTGTGACAAGATGTCATGCATTTGCCAGCCTGCGAGCACATCCCATGCCTGTCGCGGCGTTGCGCCTACCCAACCCTCGCCCTCACAAGGTCCAGGTTTGAGCGAGACATTGCAATGACCTCAGATGTAATGTGATCCGAAGCGTTTGGTCTCCTTCTTGCATGGGCCATTATGGTCCGTTCCTCGCCTTGCTGAGGCTTAAACTGAGCAAGGAGAAGGAAGAGAAGATGATTCAAGACATGCAGGACCAGCTCTTCGGAAGGAGGTTAGGCTTGCAAATCAGAAAGCATAATCTGCCAGTGTGAAGGAAGTGATCGAGACCAATGCAAGGACGGTTTGGACAGTCTTTGGCTTCTTTTGAATTCGCTATCGCTGGTGCTGAACGTGAAGCCTGAAGTGCAAGAAGGAAGAATGACCTGGAAGCATACATCTTGACAATGCGAAGCAGTGCTTCTGCCATGTTTTTGAGGAAGGAACTGGCTGGCGGGTGCCATGTATGTCTCGCAACTACCTGCATCCAACAAATCGCTGTTTGTGTTGTGTATACATACATGTTGTTCGCACAAAACTGTGCATGCGGAGACATAAACATGCACACAGAGATATGTATGTATGCACGTACGCAGGTGGATAGGTAGGTAGGTATGTACGGAGGTAGTTCTGTATGTATGTATATGTATATTGTATATATATATATATATATGCTCACCCCCCCGTTGACAGACCATGCCCTTGTGATAGTGTACTCTCGTTCGGTGACTAGGCTGAGATATTGTATCTAAACACACCACACATGACGACAATCTGTAAAGCAAATCCTTTACAGTACATATACCAAGTATATTTTTAACATGCCATGTACTGAGGACGCATGGACCAGACGCGCGACACGTAAGTTATGAGTTTTGTGGTAGCATTGATATAGGATGAATATGAGTAATAATATTGGTATTAATATTAGTATCAGCAATAGTATTAGTGTTTACTGTAAGTATATATATATATGTATATATATATATATATATCGACAGTAGTAAGTATACATTAATGTTAGTGCTCATCTGCGTTTTAGTCTTAGTGTTAGTGCCAGTGTCAATGCCAGTAATAGTACCACTGCTAGTATTAGTATCAGTCTTCATGCTGGGTTTAATATCAATTAATAATGGCAGCGGTGCTAGTATTGGTATCAAAATTAGAGTTAGTTTCGATATGTTACTATTCTGATAGTTTCGTATATCAGCAGGTTAGTATATCAATACTTTGATGTGTTCGAGAGGCAACATATTTGTATATTTGCATATTCGTAGATTTAATACTTTAGTACAACTGATTCATGAGTAAACTAGTATATTGCTGTATTCATATATTAGTATATTAACATACCAGTATATTCGTACATTAGTGTATTAGTATACTAGTATATGCAATATACGTGTATTGTCTAAAGATTTATAAGTATATCAGTATGTTGTCATATTAGTACCCTAACCTGCCATGTCGGTATACTTGCATATTACACTAGTCGTATACTAGTATAGTAGCATACTAGTATAATAGCATACTAGTATAGGGTATTCACACATTAACAAGTAGTGTATTGTTACATTGGTATATGGGTATATGCTTGTCCTAAAACATCAGTACATGAATGCATTGATACATATCGGCATTTTAAGATAATGGTATGTGTTCTGGTGTGCATTACCATATGCACGTGTCTTTTGTAGTGGTATTAGTCTTCACTTCAATATGAATATGACTATTGGTATTCGTAGGAGTATTAATGTTAATATTCGTATTAGGATTATCCATAGTCGCATTAGCCTTAGTATAAGTGTTAATAATGGTATTAATAGTGGCATTATCTTGAATATTCAACAAGTTATCAATGTCAGTATTAGTATAGGTGACAGCATTACTGTTAACAGCATAAGAGTATACGCAGTAGTATCCGTAGGAGTATCAATACTTATGTAAATCTTGGTTTTGGTATAAACAGTGTGATTGGTATTAGTAATACTGCTAGCGCTAGTGTTAATATTAAAATGAGGTTATGTATTCGCATGAACGTTTGTCTTATATTAGTATTACTCCTGATTACATGAAAATACTAACAGACAAATACATGCATGAGCTAATGTATTTGTACTTTAATATAGTGGTATGTATATTTATGTACATTGGTATATGCAGGTGTGTATTAGTATTGGTATTGAAATACACTACTACCAATATGGGCATAATTATTGATATGCGTAGGAGTATGAACGTCAGTATTAATCATTATTAGTATTTGTATGGTGCCTATGCGTATTGGCTTAAAAAAGTGTAAATATTAGTGTTAATGCTGGTATTAGCTTGGGCAGTCAGCAAATGATCAATGTCAGCATTAGTATTGGTAATAGTATTCGTAGGAGTACCAACTTAAAAAAAAAAACATATATATATATATATATATAAACACTGACAGTCGTCTAAACAGACCTTGCCTTTGCAAGTGAGTCGTAGTGCATGGTCTCTCATCCGATGGGTCACAATCAGCCCGTTGAAAATCAATTCCAGAAGTTCCAAAATTTCCAAAATTTCCGAAATTTTCGAAATTTCCGAAATTTTCGAAATTTCCGAAATTTCCAAAATTTCCAAGAAAGGCCCGACCTAGTCGACAGGATTTTTCCAAACCATAAGGGCGGACTTTTTGGAAATTTTGGAAGTTTCGGAAATTTTGGAAATTTGGAAAATTTCCAAAATTTCAAAAAAGGCCCGACCTAGTCGACAGGATTTTTCCAAAACATAAGGGCTGACTTTTTGGAAATTTTGGAAGTCCGGAACGTTAGGGGAGAGAATTTTGGAAATTTTGGAATTGAGTTTTTGAAAGCTGAGTGCCCCCTCCCCCCGATCACAGACCATGCACTACGACTGAGTTGAAAGGGCATGGTCTGTCAACGGGGGGGGTGACCATATATATATATATATGTACATACATATGTGTATGATTGCCATATGTTTGCACACGATGGTTTATGATCGAGCAACCCACCAGCTTGTAAACTGTGTGATCTCCGTGAGATCTGGAAGATGAGCTGTGCGCTGGTGGAGGGACGAAGTTTATCCAGGTCGCATAGAGGGTTGCTAATGGCACTTGTGGTTCGGGATGGCAAAGAAGGGCAAAATCGCTCTTAGCCACGTCTGCCTGATCCTAAGAGCCGGTGAAATCCGGTGAAGCGAGAATTTCGGACATGCTATAACCGGCACTTTGAGACATCGACGAATTGATGCAGAGGGACATTTGAGAGTGGGTTGGGGGGGAAGCTGACCGAGTATTGTAGTTATGTCTGCTGCCTTCAACTCGTTGTTTTCGGCCAAGACAGGCAATATAAAAGATGTCTGAATTTGTGTTGATGCCTGACCTCTTCTAACATCTCTCCATGTTTTTACTGTTGCTACTGGTCGAAGGTTGAGCTTGCAGTCATTGCTTTCGAGTCTTTGTGCATCGCTGCAGTTTTCTGCCAAGCGCGGTATTATTGGCCTGTGCCAGGTATTGCCGACGGTGGAAAGCTGAAGGGATACATCAAGGCATCTACAGTCCGGGTGTTCGCGGTTGACATGAATCAAGTACTGAGATGCCTCCTCTCACAGCACGGAGTCTTGTGCCAGCAGCTGTGGTTTGCAAAAGCCGCTCATACAGTAGCCAGACCTGCAAATCAGTCCGAACGCGAACGAAGCCACCAATGTGCTGGCACACAGACGCCACAAGAATGGATACCGCCGCGATGCTCCCCATATCTCACGTCCGACGTGACTAGACCCTACTCCAGACCTGCAACACTTGCCCCCGCTGTGTGCCATCGTACCCCGCAGCATCACGACAGCCCCAAAACAGAGCACAGATGTCCGACGTCCGATTCGGTGCCGGCACAAGAACAACATACCCCGACGTTGGCATGAGCATTGCTGGCAGTAGTTCCTTTTTCTTTAGATGACGTCCCGGCAAGAGGGGGCGGCTGGGGCGGCTGGCTGTGTTTGCACAGGAATATGTGCTTGTCAGCAGGATGGAAATGTGATCCGCTGCTGCAGGAAGAGGACAGTCAGATGTTGTCGAAGCAGCTCGAGAGCGCCGAGGACGTTTCCGAGAGCCAGTGTGTGGTTCCGTTTTGTTGGGGGCATCTTGAAGATATTCATGACGTGCTTTTCAGGTTCAGTGTCCGGGGTTTCTGGACTTGTTTAAGGTTAGGGACCTTTGTGGCATCAGCTTGTTATGGTAACATGAGCTTGTGGTTGGTATAGGAATTGAACTTTAATCTGCAGCCAGGAGTGGTTGTATGACCACCCCGACGACCTGAAAGAGGCCTTCGTGAAAAAGCTCGAGGAACTGAAGGCCCCCCCACCGGCTCAAAACGATTCTTACACCAGACCAGCTGCGCCAGCTGCGTTCGTGGTGCTGCTTGCGTTCTTGCGTTTGTCGTGTGTTGTCGGTTCGGCAACTGTGTATCGGAAATTGTCGGCTTCGCCTTTGCAGATGAATCGACTCGTGACATGGCCTGGAGACCAAGGCCGAACAACCAAGCCCGGTTGATGTTGAGCTGGCAACGGATGATTTCTCAAGTGAGAGAGGAGAGCACCTCTAAACCCGAACACCAACCACCTGCTTATACGTACCTTCAGAAAGCGGGTTGTTCAGCGATGTATTGGAAAGGACAGCTGTCGCCGGATTTCGGAAAGCTGAGACTCAACACTCTCTCGTGACATATCGCTTCAATTATGGCAGAGGCGCATCATAACCTGTAGCCCGCAGTGTTCTAGAACCTGCGTTTCGATCTTTTCCGTGCGCTGGTTGCTTGTGGTGTTTTGTGCGGGACGCTTGTTACCGACAGACTGTCCTCCAACGGTTTGCCCACTGTGATCGCACACTCATCCTAGGAGGTGGGGTGCTGGAGTTGGACCTTGTGCAGGGGCTACGCGCAGTTAGACCACGATCCGGCACGAGGAGATAAAGGTTGAACCCTTCAGCCCACCAGCACGGTTCAAAACCTTTTCAGTTTTGTTTACCACATAGCTGACGCGGACGAATGGATGAATCGTGCCTTTCGCCTCGTTCGATCGCAGGATGAATCCCAACTGAGTTTGAACTGAATCAGCTATCTTCCCAACAGCAGATGAAATCGAACCCCCCCTGCCATAGAACAAGAGTGTGGGACCTTACGCACTTAACGAAGCTCGAAACCGGGTGGCAGAGGTTCAAAATTCTTGCACAAGAGAGCAGATGCACGTGACCTGCGAGAGCCAAGAGTTCGTTTTACTTCTTTCGACTGCCGACATGCTACAGGTTTTGGGTGGCCCAGCTGAAGCACGCTCGGTCCCAAGATTGAGTAACAATAAGATGTTTCCTTGCAGCAGCACTCAGTTCGCAGTGACGGAGGTCATCGCGATGATATTCGCAGACCAGAACTTATCCACAGCTTGGAAGAATCCATTTCCAGGTTCAAGGCCTGTTTCGTACACGGGTGGAAAGAGATAAGTTGCTCATAGCAAGTTTTCTTCCGTGCTGCCACGAGAAGCATTTTGGAAGGCCGCAGCGGCCACAGCGCAAGGGCGGCCGAACCCCCGCAGCATCACTGAGAACGCCAAGTTGCAAGGACTGGAAAAAACTTGCGACGAGGCATCCAGCGTCGCTCTCTTGTTGTGTCACTTGCAAAAGAAGACGGATACATGCAAAGTTGGTGCGAACCGCAGATTCATTACTTGTGCCGATCGCTATCATGATCAGCACCAGGTTCAGCAGTGGTTGACGGACTTGATGCTCGGCTGATTTAGTTGCTTTTTGCCGCAGCGCAGCTGCAGCAGCATTTCTGACGGTCGTTGCTTTCATCGTTTGCTGGAAGTCAGTGGACCAAAGACCAACAAGTGGGCCTTGCACTTGGTACACCCGATTGAAGCGGTTGAGCTTCAACTTCAAAGACAGCATAATTGCTTGCATGCACACCTATAGCTTCACCAATTGCGGGAATCCTGACTGTCCGGGCCGGGCTTTTTCGCACAGTGCCATGGCATAGTCGACAGCATGTGCACGTGATCTTTGTGCAGACATGGAGTGTCGTGGACTGCCGTGCACTGTTGCAGCTTCGACACCTACCTGAGTAGTCCTGTGCTTCCATATTCATGTGGTCTAAGTGCTCGAATCTCTAGAGGAGTATGCGGCAAGATTTGCGAGTTCCTGTGTCCAGCTGCTCTGGACTCAAGCTAGCGAAGCTTCTTGACCAAAGTGGCTGTCGAGACAGCTCCTGGGGAACAGTTGCATATCTTTCAGAGTTTGCTCACAGTCTGGCTTTCTGGAGGGAAGATCGCAAGCAGATCTGAACCGCATGTGCTTTCAGGAAAGAGAAGCAAGGGAAGCTCTCAAAGCTGGATGATGCCGTGCTGACCGTGGAGACTCTTCAGGCCTTGACTTGGCCAAGGGCGCATACCGGCGGGCCCATTTTCGCCTGCGAGCAGGCCAAGACGGATGAACTGGTGAAGTTGGCAGAGTCAGTTCTCGGACAAGGCCAAGGCCTCCTTCCAGAGCTGCCGTCGTTTCTCACCCGCTGCTTCAGGAGACTCCACTCCCTCGCCGGTCGCTGCAAACGGCAAGTCAGCACTAGATGTTGACTGACTTAGAAGTCGCGTGAAAAGACCAGGGGTTTGGCCTTCGAAATCCTTGCCCGAGCGGCAACTTTGTGGAGTCGTCGCGTGAAGCGATCCGATTAAGTTGTCTTGTCAATGATCTGTTGAATCGCACACATGAACAGCAGTGATCGCAACTTTGTCTGGAACATCAGCAGGCTTGCCTTCCTGCTCACAGAAGCCGTTTTAGACTGGAGGAGCAACGCACTTGCACCTTGTCATGTAAAATCCCAGCACGACCGAAATCATGAAGCAGTGCAGTCTTCAAGTTGGCATGCCCGATCGATATCCTCTGGTAAAACCTATGTCATGATGCCAGCAAAGATCATCCTGCATTCCTCATGCCTAGCTGGGGAACATTCTGATGTAGGTAGAAGAGAAAGGTTGACGTCTGACCGTCCATTGCCTTTGATGAGCGACAGATGATTGTGGCCTCCTCGTTTCGTGATTGCGTCAGCCTCCAAAGCAGATCGGAGTTTAGGTGCAGGAGTTGGCTCGTCGAAAGACGAACAGCGCCCCCTCAGAGGCAGCTATACCGCCTGCTGTTCTTTCTAGAGTCTCGGTCTCATGTCAGGCTCCAGAGATGTGGCGTCCTGGCCCAAACTTGGCGGAGGCCATGAATCGATGCGGCCCGCGTCTCGGTGCCCTGTGGCATCCTATGGCTGTTTGCCACTCACAAGGCAAATCTTGGAGAATGTGCCATATGCAGGACGGTCATGGAGGCAGTAGATTCTTGCTGTTGCTGCACAGATCGGGATCGCATGGCGTCGACATACTGCAGGCAATCCGTGATGTGAAGACCTTGCCATGCCAGTTGCACAGAACCGGGTATGGGTGGCAATGTCAACCTCGCACGAACCCAGCATGCATACGGAGGTAGCCACAGGTTCCATTTCGACTGCATAGATGGCTTTCACAGGCACATCCGTAGTGTCAGAGTATTGTGTAGGTTAGCCATTGCGTGTCATTGGTGGGCTCATGCCTGGAGAGGCGCAAGCTTCGTGAACAAGGTGACGTGAATCTCCCGTGCTTTACATGTGGAGCTGCTTCGCACAAGCCCTTCTTCTCAGCGTCTGCAATTATCAAGCATTGAACAAGCTCTACCGCCACTGCAAGAGTTCCAGAAGCTTAGGCTTGAGCCATCTTTGGCCTGTAGTAGAATCAGGGAATATGCTGGCTTTCAGCCCGCAAGGTCCATCGCCGCTGTTGTAGCAGAGCGCCATCGACAGAAAGAGCAGGCCGATGCAAATCCATGTCGAGTATGCCAACATCAAAATCGAAGGAGAGGTGACGGCGAGGTTATAAGTCTGCTCATGTTTGAATTGCTGTTGGTGGTGATACGACTTGTCAGGAGGCGCTGTATAGACTCTGTCGCACCCCATGCCACACTGTTCACACCAGAATGTGTTTTTGTCCCACCGCCAAATCGTGTTCTTTGGGGAGCTGATGCCCTGTCCTGCAGCTTCTTGTAGCGTCTTTGCGAGCTTCAGCTAATCCGGTTTGAGGCGTAAGACCTGACACAAATTCTGAGGATTGCATGCTTGTAAACAGAGAAGTCATGAAGTGCTGACATTCTGCCTCGTCTCACCATGCCTGCCCATTTTACGGGGCTGTTCCTCTTTGCGATTGTGGGCTCCTGCCAGTTTGTCCGCCGGGGTCTGGAGTGCAGGACCGGCACTGCTAACGGAGCGCTTCTGTCGTGCTGCTCACTTTGGAAGACAGCTCGAACAATGCCTTTTCCATTCGTCTGGCAGGCGGCAGATGATAGAAGGCCACGCCGTGCGGATTTGGGAGTTGTCTTCGCAGCGGTCGTGGCATGCAGCATAGTGAAACAAGGACCATCAATGAGTGCCAGTTGCACGACGCGGATCGTGCGGTCATGTAGCTGCCAAACTGTCAAACACAACAGCTCATGTGCGAGAAACAGTTCAAACTCCACAGAAGCAGGAGTGCAAAGCCCCAGAGGACCAACCCTCATCAAGCATCAAGGGCTGAATCAGCCAGCGACTGTCCGCAGGCGAGAAGAAGAAAGTCAGTCGCAGGCAGCGCAGTCTCTCGGAGCAGAATGGTAGCAACGCCAGGGCGAGAGCGCACAGAGATGTTCCCGTCGCTTGTAATTGTCCTGTGCAGCCGGTTGCCGAGGCATTCGAAGGTGAACAGGAGGGGGGCATTGGCAGCACTGGCACAGGCGGCGCATGGTGGCGCCGATGGAGCAAACAAAAGTGGTTCGCTCGCACAGTTCAGGAGACAGAGCAGTGCAGCGTGTGGGTGCCGCTCGAGTCCTGATTGGCTTGAAGCTGCTTTCATGTCTACATGGTGATGCTGCAGCCAGCAAACTCCAATCTGGCAAGAACAGATCATTCACGTTGCTCTACTGCTGAATGATGACATGCCGGTGCTAGATAAACGACTATCAACAAAACATCGCATTGCCCAGTTCACAGGCGACAATGGCACAGGCGCCATGCAAGCGTCCACGATCAGGCGATGTGGATGGCATCACCGACTTCGAAAAAGGGCAGCGCGATTTTACTCCGCAGGCGCCAGACAGCAAGGCGATCTGTGCTGACTTCAGCAGCAAGACAAAGCAGTATACGAACGGCGTTGTCGCTAAGAATCTTGGCTCGAAAAGAGATCGAAGAGGTGACATCCGCAGTTGCATAGCGTGCTATCCGCTATCCGGCCAGGGCTTGCTAGGAGGTCTGCGAAACGGATCCTGGCTGCTTGTATGACGACCACAGTCTGTAACACCAAATCAGCCCCTTGTTGCCGCTTGATGCGAGAGATGTTTCCCTTCTGCAAGGAACGACTGGCGAGAGGCCCTGGGCCCTCTGAGTGGAGAGGAAGTGCGCATCCCTGATGTGAATTCTGGCTACCCGAAGGGCGTCTACCCTAGCAAGTGGGAGGACAGAAAAAATGGAGAGCTGCTTTGGGAGTGGCTCTGTATTCAGCGTTGCTTGACCTGTGTCCCGCCTCGACAGATAGACTGGAGTGCACAAGGCTTAGTGCGGCATGCTGTCGAACCGCAGATTAGCTGAGAAATCAGGACGGCCAATGCCAGCCTGTTTCGGTGGAAACCTTTGACCTTGGCGGCGGCTTCCCGGATCAGAACGAATTCGTCATGAAGTTTGGAGCATCTGGTCTGAAGTTTTGCAGCACTTCATCGGTGTTCGATAGGGGTGAGAACGTGCGATTTTGATATCATGCGTTCGTGCACGTATTTCTCAACAACGTACACATGCAGCTGCCCGTTGGAGCCGTGCTTAAGGTCGATTGCAAAGTTACCAGAGTGGAAAGAGAGTTCGCATCAGGATTCCGAATCAAGTTAGGCTTGTATCAGAGGTTTGTTGAGTGTAATATAATATAGCGTAATATCACACAAGTTCGAATAATTTCTGTGGTTGATGCAAGTTGCAGTAGGCAGACTGCTAGAAGGACACATTGGGAACGAGATGAGTTGTTAAGGTCATCATTCCGTCCACTAACACCACAGTGGAGTACGATTTCTGGAGCATGATCATGCAGAATCGGGACGTTTGCAAGGCCTTGCAGCAGTCACTGAAGATAGTGCCTTGAGTGCTTCGCAGCGTGGCAGGGCATCGGGTTCCACATGTCGGGGATCCTGATTGACAGCCCCAAGCTGGCAACGGATGAGGACATGTTGCACTTTCTGCAGTTGTGGCCTGGCCGCGTCCAGACGTGCTCTTGTGCTCTCTCGTGCTCGATTGCATAGCCGTTCCAGACTTGAGGTTCCGCAAGCAGATCTTTACCACTGTTGACCGGTTGATGACGTCGGAGCCGCAGTACATCATCATGGGCTGCTCGGCATCGTCCGAAGCAGCGTGGGACAGTGGAAGCCAATATAGCCAGGGAGCAGACAGTACAAAGCAATCAAGTACAAAAGCACTGGGCTCACTCTAGAACAGAGCCGTGCGATGTCAGCGACCTTCACCAAGAAAGATGTTGCAATTATCCTGTTGTGGTCCGTTGTGGTAGTACAACTTATACACCCACAAGAGTATAGCCTGTGTGACCATACAGCATCTTGTAGAGTTTCAAGGCCCAAAAAGTCCGGTCAAACCAGGGCATGCAACAAAGCCCATGAGGCACGGAGGGCTTGAGGAAGATCCCAGGTGCATATGATCGGATAGAAGAGCACCAATCAAGTTTGCTTGCATGTTCAAAGACCTTCATTCAACATGCTGTTGATCTACGCATTTCCGATACTTCAAGTTGAACATGATTGCACTGTCAGCTGCGAGCTTCGCTCGCTCCGTGAACAACTGAATCAGGTATGTCTTTGGAGACATTTTTCGGTGGATGGGAAGGCAACAAGGTGTGCATGCAAGAATGTGCAAGTGTTCACTACCTGTATATGCTGCAACCTGTGCAGGAGTTCAAAAAAGAACTTAGTGACAGAACCGGCCTGAACATAGCCACCGGCGCAGAGGCGTGCAAGGCTGGAGGGGGAAGACCTACTGCAATGATGCAATGCTAGTTTTTCCGTGGCGGTGAGCAAGTCAGATATTATTGCATTTGTTGGCTTGCAACATACAGATGCACTGGTGGGATTTTTTCCTAAGCTCCTCCTGCTCACGTAATCATGCCATTGAAGAACAAAGACTCTTGAGCTGGTCGGTTCGAATGAGGATGAGATGTGGGCGAGACATCCGGATCTTGAGCCAAGCAGATTGTCATCTTCCGTGCGAGATATCACAAGAAGTTGGAGTCATGCAGGTAAATGGAAGAATACTTATGATCACTTCTGACATGTCGCCACTGCGAACGAATATCATCGCGGCCTGTGCACTGCATGCGAGAAGAAGTCTGGTGGACAGAGATAACTTTTGCACTGCACTGGGCAAGGTTTGCACTGGGCAAGGTTTCCCAAGCAGGAAACAACCAGAATATTAAGAGATTTTCAGTGCTGGGCTGATGGAAAGGCTCCCGCACGAAACAGAAACTCTCGGCGAACCTCTGCTGAGGGAA